GGAGTGACCCTCTTTTCCTATGTGCTAACGAAGCTCACACATACACACACACACACACACACACACGCATGTGCATACTCATGTGGACATACATGGGTGCATATGCACATGTCTGCATGATTCTATATGTATGTGCCTCAAAATGCATGCAGCATAATATGTATGTGCATACGTGCGTGTATGTGTGTGTGTGTACGTACGTGCATACGTGGGCAGGTATTAACATCTACAAGTATGCAGAGGCAAGCAAGCACAGCGGGATTAGGGTTCACGCTCTCACACTCCGACTCGCCAGATGAGGTTCATGGTGCCAGTATTTGCGTAGTTCTTTAAAGTAGGGTCGCTTTCTAGGTCCCAAAAATAGTACAGCACCCCTATAAAAAAGGACCTTACAGCGACCCTAATTTACAGAACGTTGAGGATTCAGGGAGTTGCAGACTCAATCTGCCGGCCAGCGGCATGGGCACTTGCGAGTGGGTGCCCCACTGATTGAGCTCAAGGCGCACTGGGCCTGGTGGATACGGATGCTCCTCAGGTGGTAGCAAGGCTTCAAGGCTTTTCATCATGGAACAGAGTCAGTGCATAAGCGATGGGAACAACAAGTGCAACAGCACTTGCCACAGCGATCATGGCACTGGCTGTTGTAATAGCAATATTGTTCGTCGTCGTCGTAGTCGTCGATTCAGCGAGCAGCAGCAGCAGCAGCAGCAGCATAGCAGTAGAAGTAGCAGTGACAGCGGCAGCAGCAGTAGCCGCAGCAGCAGCAGCAGCAGCAGCAGCAGCAGTAGTACTCGTGGTCGTCGTTCGCCTTCGTCGTCGTCTTATCTACAGCAGCAGCTTCAGCAAGAATGAGCATGAAAACGGTACTTCCCCCAGCATCGTTATCACATGATAATACTGCAGCCAAATGCAGTCATCAAAACATTCTCAACAAGACCCATCAAGACCCTATCATACTAGACTGGACATGCTGCCGCTGATGTTCTGAGGTACTCTGGCACTACATGGAGGTACTTCTGGTAAGCACTGCCACTACGCGTAATCATGTGAGCCTAAAGGATTGGGGTCCAGGGCACCACTGGGCCGCAGTCCACGAGAGCGTCTTCTAAGCAGATGACGGGCCGGAGGCTAGAGGCCGCTGCCCGCGGGGTCTCCTCAAGGGCGTTGTCCGCACTTTTTGTCGGGCCTGTGATTCTTGCAGCTATCCTTCGCGGTACCATTGCCTCTACGACGACGACGACGACGACGACGAGTACGAGTAGTAGTAGTAGTAGTAGTAGTAGTACTACTACTACTACTACTACTACTACTAACAATAATAATAATAATACTCCGGTTCCTACTCCTGCCCGGTCCTACTCCTACTACGAGACGATGACGCCAGCAACGAGGACGAGGACGCGACGACGCACTACGTACCTAATGGCACCTAATTAACCTGCATACTACTACGTACTAGTGCTACTGCCGTGCTGCTGCTGCTGCTGCTGCTGCTTCTGCTTGGCAACCTTGAAACACCCGAGATAACCTGAAAAGACAGAAAACGCACGACAGCCCCAGGTGCCCCGTGCTCCGGGCCCCCTGATCCCCGAAGAGCCTACCTCGGACCTAGATGTAACCCAAATCATAGCAAGGACCCCCCCCCAAAAAAAAAAAAACAAAGCTAGAATTTCAGAGGGTCCAGGTCAACCCTTAGCCAAGGACCAAGTCTAAACTCCGGGGGAGCGCAGCTGTTCGATGTTCCATGCCATACGCAGTGACCCTAAACCATAAACATCCTAAACATCCTAAACTCCTAAACCCTAAACCCCTAAACCCCTAAACCCTAAACCCTAAACCCTAAACCCCTAAACCCCTAAACCCCCTTAAACCCCCCCTAAATCCTAAACCCTAAACCCTAATTCAGAGAACCCGAACCCGGGAATGCTCAGGAACCCGGCTCCCCCGCCGCGGCTGCGACTGCGAGGTCTTGCTTCCTGCGTCAGGGGGGCCCTAAACCCTAAACCTTGTACCCCTAAACCCTAAAACCCTAA